CACTGCACCCTGCACACACACTCACTGCACCTGACACACACTCACTGCACCTGAACACACTGCACTGCACCTGACACACTGCACCTGACACACTCACTGCACCTGACACACTCACTGCACCTGACACACACTGCACCTGACACACACACACTGCACCTGACACACTCACTGCACCTGACACACTCACTGCACCTGACACACTGCACCTGACACACTCACTGCACCTGACACACCACTGCACTGACACTGCACCTGACAGGCTCACTGCACCTGACACTCACTGCACTGACAGGCTCACTGCACCTGACACACTCACTGCACCTGACAGGCTCACTGCACCTGACACACTCACTGCACCTGACACACTGCACTGACACACACTCACTGCACCTGACAGGCTCACTGCACCTGACACACACTCACTGCACCTGACACACTCACTGCACCTGACACACTCACTGCACCTGACACACTCACTGCACCTGACACACTCACCTTCCAAAACCTCGTCTATTTTCTCTGTTAAAAGACCCATAATCCTCTGTTCTCTGATCTGTCCTAATGTCGTTTCCTCCTCAGACCTGATTTATTGATGAGGATCATTAGAACTTAAGAACATAAGAAGTTTAGAACTTTAGATCATTAGAACTTTAGAACATAAGAAGTTTAGAACTTTAGATCTTTAGAACATTAGAACTTTAGAACATGAGAACATTAGAACATTAGAACATTAGAACATGAGAACATTAGAACATGAGAACATTAGAACATTAGAACATTAGAACATTAGAACATTAGAACATTAGAACATGAGAACATTAGAACATGAGAACATTAGAACATGAGAACATTAGAACATGAGAACATTAGAACATTAGAACATTAGAACATTAGCTCGTGGTGTAAAGTTCTCGTGGGTTTGTTTGTTTGTGAGCTACAGGAGCTTTCATGTTTACAGGTCGTGTTTGTGGAGTGGCGCGTTACATAAATCACTCTGGCAGTGTGTGAATGTGACTGTGTGACTGTGAGTGTGTGACTGTGTGACTGTGTGAATGTGACTGTGTGACTGTGACTGTGTGACTGTGTGAATGTGACTGTGTGACTGTGAGTGTGTGAGTGTGTGAGTGTGAGTGTGTGAGTGTGTGACTGTGACTGTGTGAATGTGACTGTGTGATTGTGACTGTGTGAGTGTGACTGTGTGAGTGTGTGAGTGTGTGACTGTGTGAATGTGACTGTGTGACTGTGTGATTGTGACTGTGTGAGTGTGTAAGTGTGTGATTGTGACTGTGTGACTGTGTGATTGTGACTGTGTGAGTGTGTAAGTGTGTGATTGTGACTGTGTGACTGTGTGATTGTGACTGTGTGACTGTGACTGTGTGACTGTGTGACTGTGACTGTGTGACTGTGACTGTGTGACTGTGTGAATGTGACTGTGTGACTGTGTGATTGTGACTGTGTGACTGTGTGAGTGTGACTGTGTGAATGTGACTGTGTGACTGTGTGAATGTGACTGTGTGAGTGTGTGAGTGTGTGAATGTGACTGTGTGACTTTGTGAGTGTGACTGTGTGAATGTGACTGTGTGACTGTGTGACTGTGTGAATGTGACTGTGTGAGTGTGTGAGTGTGTGAATGTGACTGTGTGAGCGTGTGAGTGTGACTGTGTGAGTGTGTGAGTGTGTGAGTGTGACTGTGTGAGTGTGTGAGTGTGACTGTGAGTGTGTGACTGTGTGAGTGTGTGAGTGTGACTGTGTGAGCGTGTGAGTGTGACTGTGTGACTGTGTGAGTGTGACTGTGTGAGTGTGAGTGTGACTGTGTGAGTGTGACTGTGTGAGTGTGACTGTGTGACTTCTGCTGCAGTCATGTTACGAGTCATGTCTGTGGAATGTGGAGCGAGAACCAGAAGAACAGAGACATGTGGTTCAGCCACATCACACACACACACACACACACACACACACACACACACACACACACACACACACACACACACACACACACACACACACACACACACACACACACTGTTCAGGAACAAACACACACACACACACACACACACACACACACACACACACACACACACACACACACACACACACACACACACACACACACACACACACACACACACACACACACACACACACACACACACACACTGTTCAGGAACAACACACACACACACACACACACACACACACACACACACACACACACACACTGTTCAGGAACAAACACACACACACACACACACACACACACACACACTGTTCAGGAACACACACACACACTATTACACAAACGCACAATATTAAACACAATATTACAACATTACACACAACATTACACACACTATTACACACTCTGCACTTGTTCACTGCAAAAAAAAGTTTGTCCAAAATGTAAAATGTAAAAACTTAAATTGATCAGAAAATAATTTTACATGACGAGTTTTCTTCAAATAATCGACTCTAGACGAGAGTGAAGCGTCTGAGCTCAGAGCTCATGGACCAGACGTTTGTGGAGGTTAAATTCTCGATAAACAGACTTAAAACAAGTTCATGATTATTATGAATGTTCTGATAATAAATTCAAAGATGATAAATTCTAGATATAAGTTTTGGTAAATGGACTGTAGATTCTTTTAAACATTTATTTATCATTTTTAAGATTATACAAACAATTCAGAACGATCATCAAGTCAATTATAAATCTGAAAACAAGATGAATAATTTGATATAAGTTTTAAAATCTTGTCCAGACCAGAGAAATGTGCAGTGTTGTGAGCAGGGGCGGAGTCACTGGGGGGGCTCGAGGGCACCGGCCTCCAGAACGACCAAAGCCCCCCCCCAAAGACTTTTACTTTATTTTCATAGAACTTTAAATCTGAATTGGAGCCTGTTAATTCAAGAATTAAAATGTACAAATCAAACACAGAAAGTTCAAAATGAGACTCTAATAGAATCACTACACACACAAACACACACACACGACACGAGGCAGGGTGACCAGAATTTAAAAAAAATTTAAAAAACGGGAAATCTGTTTTGTTTTTTGTTTTTTTGGTGGTTGTTAATAATAAAACTGTTAACATTACTTTACTTCTGCATTACTTTTAAGTTTCTCTCACCAAAATAACTGCAAACATGCTGAACTGGACTGAACCAGGACTAAACCAGGCCTAAACCAGGACTTAACCAGGACTGAACCAGGACTAAACCAGAACTGAACCAGGACTAAACCAGGACTAAACCAGGACTAAACCAGGACTAAACCAGGACTAAACCAGGTTTAAAACAGGACTGAACCAGGACTGAACTGAGGACTAAACCAGGCCTAAACTAGGTCTAAACCAGGACTGAACAAGGCCTAAACTAGGTCTAAACCAGGACTAAACCAGGCCTAAACCAGGTTTAAAACAGGACTGAACCAGGACTGAACTGAGGAATAAACCAGGCTTAACTAGGTCTAAACCAGGACTAAACCAGGTCTAAAACAGGACTGAACCAGGACTGAACCGAGGAATAAACCAGGCCTAAACCAGGTCTAAACCAGGACTAATTTTGAACTAGAACTTGGACTCTAGGAGGGTCCCTGAGAGAACCCTGAGCCCATGGAAACTCACCACTTCAATCCAGGTTAAAAAAGGTTTGTAAATCACATTATTGACATTTGTACCGAGTCAAATATTACAGTTTTTTTCCCTGTATCGCCACATTACTGCGTTACAGCAAAAAACAACACAGCGCAGTCATTTTTCCCAACAAGTGCAAAATGAAGGAAAATAGTTGTGCAGATCTTTCATGACGAACACGAGTCAGTACAGACACATTTTCTTTGTGTTTTGGTCGTTTTTTTAATCGGCTTTTCTGTCTTTTACCCAAACAAATGACACTTCACGTCTCTTTTTACTGTTGTCAGGATCTGACTGGTCAAAACTAGAGACACTGGGACATTTCTTTTATAAAACTGTGGGACAAATCACTGGTTTTGTATAAATAAATAAAAAAAATCCAATATAAATGTAAAGAGCACAGTTTTATTTTCCTGCGGTCAGTGGGAGCGTCATGGTTCTGTTTAAGAGTTTGATTTTACACTAAAAGAAAAAAAGAGCGACTGAAAGTGAGAAACTGTCAGCTCAGATGAAAGTCTGAAAGAGAATGTGGACGACTTCAGCTGCAAAGGAACAAAACAACTGAATTTCACTTTGTCACGAAAAATCTAAAAGGTAAAAGCACAAATGTTTTTTCTCTGCGTTTACAAAACTCTCCACTGGGACAAACACAGATTGTTTTTTTATAAATCAAACTGTGAAAAGAGCGAGTCAGATCCAGGGTCAGGATCTGAGGAACTTCTGACGCTGCTGCTTTTTTTTTTTTTTTTTTTTTTTTGCTTTATGGTCGTTTGCAAACACGGTTTTGTGTATTTTGGTAAAAACAAATGACAATTCATGCTCCTCTTTAATGTTGGCGAAGATCAGACTAGACCAAAACTCTGATAGTCCTGGTTTAGACCTGGTTTAGTCCTG